GAAATTTTTTTTTTTTTTTTTTTTTGGAAGGGGGGGGGTGAAAAAAGAAAAACACCCCCCTTTGGGTTTAAAATTTCTATTAAAAGGTTTGGGGAAAAAGGGGGTTTTTTTTTTTGGGGGGTTTTTTTGGGGGTTTTTGGGGCCCCCCCAAAAAAAAAAAAAAAGGCAAAATTTTTGTTGGGGATGGGGGGGTTTGGTTCCCCCCCCTTGTAAATCCCAAAAAAGGGGGGGTAAGCCCCCCCCCCCCCCCCCCCCCCCCCGCGGGCTTGTTCTTGCGAATCGCCAGGGAATCTTGGAGAGAGAGGGAGAGAAACAGCAGGCAGAAAATTTCCTCCAAAGTGTGCTGAGTTATGCAGGCCCTGGGCGGGAGGGGGGGTGACGCCGATAGAATTGTGCTGACCCGTATTTCTGTCCTGTGTCGTTGATCGAGGACGGGGTTATTCTTATATCAACCCTTTTTCATACCCGCCCTCGAATACATGCTCAGGCGGTCTGTACTGATAAGCACTTGGTGGGCATTCGTGTGAAGAGCCTTTGTTAGACGGGAGCCGCGGCCGTGGGGAGGTCCGGTCTGGTGTGCATTTTGGTTTGCATTTGTTGCCGAATGGGGACAATGGAGAATGAGGCCCATGAACGTTTTGCGTTTTTTGTGCGTGTTGCACGGCAGGATGTTTGGCGGGGCGAATCAACCATTTTTTTCAACGGCTAGCTGTTAAGAGCTTGTTGATTTCGGACAGAAAGCGAAGAAAAATTGGTGTCGTCATCTCTCATTTGCCATCGTCAAGCGCAACCGAGAGATTCTCCTGTAACAAAGCAGTAAATGTAACGAACCCCCACTGCTTCGGCCAACAAATTTGCTACACCGCGAAATAAATCGCGGGCATATCCCGCAGCCAGCCCCCAAAACTTTACTGGGAGCAGCAGCACGGCAGCGGTAAGGTGGAGGTGGTAAGGCCCATTACCAAGTTTCCGTGTCGATCATTCCACGCATCAGCGATCAGACAAAGGGGGGCACGTGGAATGTATCTGGTCGGTGACAACGTGTTCCAATTGGTATCATGTACAGCATGGGTGCTCCCAAGTTCGGACATCAAAGCCTCTCTTGTCTGTGGAGGGGAGAAGGAGACAAGTTGTTCTGGTCTACACGGCAGCGCCATAAGGTGGTGTCCCCCTCGAGTTTTCCACCTGGCCTGCCTCGAAGGAGTATGGATGCGCTCACAAAAGTAGGATCCACATCATCAGTGGATCTTCCCGCTCCGCACACCCACCCATGCCACATCATCTGCTATCTGCGGGCTCCCTACCAAACGATATGTATGCAGAGCCGGTACGTCCCTCCCCTCGTATCGCTCTCTCACAAACACTCGCTCTTTCGCTCTTCGCAGGCATCGTAGTGATACCATCCGCCAGTGTGGCTTGTGTTGTAGTTGTTTCAGCTCTGCACGTGAGTGTCGGGTCTAGGTCCGCGGGCGCGCGAAAGAAAGTTGCGCGAAAAATACATCTCGCCGCGCCCGCTGGTGGAGAGTAGTTTACCCTCACATCATGAGGAAACACGTCGTGTTTGTGGTGGACGCATCGAGGTCGATGGAGAGGATGGACGTGTTCGACCAGGGCGAGCGTAAGCGGAGAATCGACGCTGTCCTGGACTGCTGCTTTGAGTTCATCGAGGTGAGAAGTAATCACGCATATCATAGATACAGAGTAGCGTCCACAACTTTTTTTTGCGAACCCTTCCCGGACTTCCAGCATCACGTCTCGGAGCACGTCTCAGTTCACAGCAGCAGGAGAACACGGGCATGGGTTTCCTTAACCCCGCTGTTACTGCTGTCATGTCTCCGAAGGCTGTGTGCTCCCGGATTCGACGACACTCCGGCCCCGAAACACTCCGAGCTCGATAGGGTGGTACAAGACTAATCATGTTGTTATGGTCCGCACTTACCCACTTTTAAGACATGCCACCATGCACACATGCACCACCAAAGCTGCTGCACTGTTTTCACCATTGCTTGAGGGTACGCACACACACCAAGTAGGAGATGTGGATCCGAACGAGAGAAGGGGCGCGCAGCAGTCAGAACGGTGGCAGGCGAGGCTTTGGATCCGATGTACATTTGAATCGAATACTGAAGAACATGTTGTTGTTGTTGTTGTCGTCATAAGTCTATTGAAAACCGTTCCGATATCTCTACCCAGACCTTCATGCTCAACTTACCGCAGCAAGGACCTACTTGTAGACAGACTATTTCAATCGATGGCGTGGCGTGGTTGACTTTATTTTGTTGGAAGAGACATCTCACCGAAACAAGCGAGACCAGGCATATTATTGGAATTTCTTCGATAGAGATGGATTCGTTGGGTCACATACTGATGGAAATAACTCTTCACAGAAAGACTATTTGTACAAGTATTCGAGATATATCCACACAGCAGTCGAACGGGATGTGCTGAAGGATCAATTTTCCATACACACATCCACACAGCACACCTATTGCATACCACAGCAGCAGTATTAGTAGACGTCGTAGTGACTGCGGGGCGGTCGGTCTGTGGGGCGGCATGGACACCCACACGATATTGTTCTTTCCATGATGACCACGCGCTGCTGCTGCGCATGTAGTCTATGCATACAGCAATATTAATATTTCGATCACGGAATTGGCAGCACCCTTTTCATGGAACATGAAGTTTCAACCTTCGCCAATGTTGCTACAAAACATGTCTTCTGCTTTACTGGTCAGCCAGCAGTACCAGTACATGACAGCTGGGAGTATATAATAGCGCATTTCGAATACAAGTTTTGAGAAACTACACGAAACAGAGTTGTGTGGGTCAGTGCTACCACGCACGTAGGGTATACGTACGTGACACATGCACTGTCCTTTGTTCAGCCCCCCACCCCTTCACGAAAGGAGAAGCCCCGACGTGGGCTGCGTTGGATGTCGTCCAAAGCGATAAAACGATCGGCTGCCCTAACTTACAAGATGTTACGCCGCATAGCTTGGAGATGTGCCTATTTGAGGGGGTGCTAACGCTAACGACTTGGTCGAACGCAATGGTTGACGAGAATGTTCCTGAGGAACCTTCCTGGATGCACCACCAGAGTTTACATTATGATTGCCCGAGAAAACGCTGGTGGGTGTATGGGTGGGTGGGTGGCGAGGAGGAGGAGACCCAAACCTATGGCATTGGAAAGTGCTAGGTCACTGCTGTACCAAGCAAGCCTAGGCAGTGGCAAGCCGAGGCGCTAGGTTGCTGAACGGTGAAAAAGCAAGGTTGCTGCCGTTAGCGTTCTATGTATGCATAATAGGTTGCTGCTGTCCCCTTTAGGCTAAGCCGGGACTCAGGAGGGGGTAAGGGTCAGGTTGCTGCACCTTTTTTTTCTTGTCGGGTGCATCGCCATCAGCAGCACTACACAAGACTATAATAGGTTGCTGTACGGTGAAAAACTAAGTTGCCGTGCATGGGCTGCACCTCCTCAAGGAATGTTCCGAGAAATGGTACAATTCCGATATGGAGAATATCAGATCGACCGAGTAGTCAGCACTCCTGGAACATAATTTCCAGGCGGCGCTGGGCGTACCAGTGTTTCAGGGTATTTGTTGTAGTTATGGTGTAGCACTATTTAATATGCTGCTACTGCTGTAAGGCCTCCGAAACTTTCGTGGCAATCTTAATATTTCCGTAAGTCAGATTAAGTTTTTTTTTGCTTCACAGCAGTAGCAATTCCGTTGTGCCCTGGTGCGTGCAAGAAGCACGCACCGCAAGCATGACGGTTGATTAAGATAGCCCGTCCTATTGTTGCCAAAATGACCCTGGAACAGCCCTGCAACGAAGAGGGTAGCTCCACAGAACGACATGTATGTCTTTCTGTCTGTGTTGAGTCTTGAGACAGCTCGCGAAGAGATCCTTGCCGACGTTGCCACCCCAGTCACAGCTTTACGCGCGCCGAGCTGCGACTGGATGTACTTGTACTTCGAAGTAACTAGTACTGCAGCTTCCTAAATCGCCAGGGGGGGGGGGCGTACTCATGTTTGCATGCAATAGCGGTTAGACCATGGTACGTTGTTGGTCAAAAAGGAGCGGTTAAACCATCTTACGTTTTTGGGCGGAAAGCAAAAACAAACAAACTTGATTCTCGGTTCTTTTAATGCTTTTT